ATATATCTATGGGCCAACGGTATCTTTGCAGTCCAGAAAACAATACAATATTATTTCTAATTTTGGCCTAATCATGTAAATAGTATGAGGATAACTTATACAAATTTTACTATTTTAAGAACTAATTATTTAGATTCACATTAATTTAAAATATTACGTTCTTTCAGATACATGTAAGACAACTATGTATCAACTAATGTGTTTAATTAAGGGATATATATATATGAAAGCTACACCCTCTGTCCCATTTTATACGATATCGTTTGACTTGACATGAAGTTTAAGAAAAAAAGAAAGATTCTTGAAATTTATGATTTTAAAAAATCCTTAGATATTTGTGTGGTTGTAAATCATTTCATTAAGGATAAAAAAAATTAAAATAAAATTGTTTCTAATTATAGTAAGGTGACATTCTTTTTGAAACGGACTATAAAACAAAGGGTATCACATAAAATAGGATAGAGGGCTTATTAATTAAGGAATATGTCTAACTAAAGGATATAACTGAAATATATTAATTAAGGAGAAGATCATACTTATTACAACTTTAGAAGATATGAGTATCACAACTCCTAAAAAAATACAATTAAAATTCTTCTTCTTCTTTATTTTAAATTTTTTTATAAGATTTAAAATATTTTTTATTTACTTAAACTGTATACCAAGTTAAAAACAGAAAAATAAATCGAAATATAGAGTGTACTTCACAATAACTTTACGCAGTTTTTTTTATCATAATCTTTTTAAAATAATAAAAAAAATTGATCACCTTTTCTTTCTTCATCCATACTCTAAGTTTCGAACTCTTCGTTGTATTTGTTTAGATTATAAATAAATATTTTTGAGATAATATTTTTTGCATAGGTACCAACACAAAACAAGTAAAAACACACTTAATTTTCAGTAAAATATTTTTCATTAATATTTATTTAAGCAAAAGTTATTAAATTCGACTAAGTACATGATATCGCTGTTAAAAAAAAAGACTATTTAAGGGAGCTAAAACGGGTAAAATAATGTTCATTGCGAAATTAATTAATACTAATATTATTAAAATTCACTAGAAATATATGTATTTGGTATATTAGACATTAATTTAATGGAAAAACTACATATTATAGCATTTTTGGGGAAATGTTAAAAGGACCCTCTGCTGACAGCCTGACACAAACTCATGTGATGTTTATATGAAAAGGAAACATATGCAGTAGTATTATTTTCAACATGTGTATATTGCTATAAATTGCAAACGAACGATTCTTTTTATACATTTTGTAATTATGTATCTTATTTTTTTTCTTTCTATATACAAAATGAATCTTTCTGTATTTTGTCGGTTATTACTTGGAGCATGTTTAAATTGGCAGAAAAAAAATAGTTTTTTCTTTCTATATATATATAAAAAAAAGAATCTCTGTGGATTTGTCGGTTGGTACTTAGAGCATGTTTAAATTGGCAGAAAAAAATTGTTTTAAGTTAAAAATTAAAAATCAAATTTAAATGATTTTTTAAATAAAAAAAGTAGAAAGAGTCTTACTTTTGAATTTCAACTTTTTTAAAAATATTTTTTATCTTACTCGTTCAATTTGTTAGTGGACAATAGTGGTGGCAAATGGAAGAGTTGGATCAAATTTGGGCGGGTTAAAAATGAGTCAACATAAAATGGGTAATAATTTAACCCATCCATATTTAATATGGGTAAAAATGAATTGGGTAAGAAATGGATTGGGTAAAATACTAGTTTACCCATATTTTCATGAGTAAATAGTACTCTACTTAAGAATTCAACTTGAAGAAAATATTTTAGTTTTTTTTTTAGATGAAAAATATTGAAAATGTTTCATTTAATTTTATTGTATCATAAAAGTAAAAAAAAAATCATATAACTTTTCAATATAAAATAAAATTATGTAATAACAAGGGAAAAATATTTTTAATTTCAAAGTAAATTAATATTTGCATTTTAGGACTAAAACATGTTTAATGTACTTTAAGCAATGTCAATACTAATACATGATTTGCTTATTTTACACTATTATTTATAATCCAATATAAAATTAAACAAATAAAAAAAATGTAATTATAAGTAACAAAAGAAATGTACATTTAAAATATATATTTTTCGAGGGCCAAAGACTTCACCTTTGTTGTAAAATTAAAACAAAATAAGACAAGAAATATAGAAGATGAAAGCAATAGAAATAGGGAGACAAGAGATGAGAGCTTTTCTTATTATTCCAAGTCTTCAAGTCTATACAATATGAACCCTTATGCCTCTATTTATAGTGTAACATAGAGGCATACAAAAGGTTAATCATAAACATGGCATTAACATGAATATAATGGAGGAGGTTATGGAAGTGAAAGGTTATAAGAATAATGGTTATAAAGTTAGAGGTTACGGAGGTTATGGTTGTCTTCATAATGGAGGAAAGTAATGGAGATAATGGGTGAGAGTAACTTCTTGGTGTAGTGGACATCCACACTATAATATTTTATAACAACCTTTTCAAATTATAGTGAAAAATAATTAGTTCTATTGAAGAACATAAATAGCAAGAGAAATTACAATATTTCTAGTGATATCATGAATTTATAGTGAATAAAAGTTAGAAGCTTAACCCATTTGACTAATCCATACTTTACCCATAGTTTACCCATATTTTTATGAGTTGAATATGGGTATTAACCTATATTTTACCCATGTAAAAAATCACTCACCCAACCCATTAAAATATGGGCGGGTTACCAAAATATGAGCTCATTTTGCCGGCACTAGTGGACAACAACAATTCGGGATGCACATGGATTATATTGTTCGAATATTTTAAATATCAAATTAAATTATTTGTATTAAAAAATTTAAATCTATAAATCAAATTAAATTAATCAAACTCAAGTTATTCAACTTCAATTTTTTTTGGGTTTTTTAGTAAAATGTTCATATAAACATTGATTAACTTGTGTTTCAAATATCTCTTTAATCATATCAAAATCAGAGGTGTATCCAGGAGGGGGGTCATCGGGTTCACATGAACCCATACTCCCCTCCTGAAATCATATATCGTAGTGTTATATTTTTTAAAATATTTAAATATAGATATGTGAAATTATAGTTGAAGTACCATACCCGTGCAAGTATCATATCGTGCGAGTATGATTGGGTGCACCTCTCTAAGTGAGGTTAGAAATTTGAATCTTATATTTATCTCATTTTATTTTCTTTTCTAAAATTGGGTAACGCCTCTCTAAGTGGTTTGGATAGGTAAAAATAATTTTGGACCTGTAATTTTAAAATTTTAATTATTTTTAGTGAAAAGAACCTAAATGTTAAGCCGATCAAATTTATATCTTAGATCCACCCTTTCATAATAGTGCACCCATCATCTCAAAATTTTGAATACGACTCTGAGTCCAAAATGCAGTTATTTAAGGTGTTTCTTAAATAAATAACATAAAAATATGATATGAGTGATGACACTATAATCTTCAACAACAAAAAAAAAAAAAACTAGTCTAGTTTGTTTTTAAAGTACCAAATCAAGTCAGATCAAACTACTAGTCGATTTTTGATTTGCGATGTAATGTGATTTTCAATTCAATTTTGTTTAGAAAGACTAGAACACACAACCTCAAGAAATTTTCACAATGTCTTAACCACTAGACTAAACCGTGTCACTATATATATAAACAAAATTTAACCTCTATATACAATATAATTTTCCGACATAACTATGAATAGGTCCCCACCCTACCCTAACAACAATAACAAACTCGATGTAATCACACACATAAATTTTGAATCTGTTTTGCACTACATATAAAAAAAAGGACCCATATGTAGGACACTGTTTTCAATGTATATTATATACTACTATATATATTTTCACTATATAAAGACATGCATGGTGGTATTACCACAAAATAAGCACTTGAACAACAACAACAATAAAAAAAAAAAAAAAAAAAAAAGAGTAGGCAGCATAATGTGTATTGGAGGAGGAAAGGTGGTGTGTGTAACAGGGGGTTCTGGTTTCATAGCTTCATGGCTAATCAAGATGTTACTTCAACATGGATACACTGTTAATGCTACCCTTCGCAACATTAGTCAGTTTATACATTACATCTCTCTTTATTATTATTTTTTAAAATTTATGTTTGGATGTTCTCAAGGCCATTTTTTAGATGTTTAATTTCTGGATTATTTGCTCTCATTCTTGGAGAATCTTAGTAGCTCAGTTGATTGATTATCTGAACTCACACTTAATTGATGAAAGTTCATTTTCCCACACTGTAACCCTCTCCTCATTTTCCCTTCTTCTATCCTCAATTAAAAAGAAAATTTGCTCTCATTCTATCTTGTTAACATCTACTCCAATTGTAGTGATTAAGAAAAGATTGTAACTAACATTTTTCTTTCATGAAAAAAACTTGTAAGATAGTGCATATTGGTGTGTTTGGTACAAAGAAAAATGAGTGAATTTTTTATTTATTTTTTATATTTGGTAAGTAGATAAAAAAGAATAATATCTCAAAAGTATTTATATGTAAATGGTCAATAAAGTGGTTGAGAACCTTGATGTCTCAAGTTTAAAACTCATTGAAGACAAAAAAAAAACACTAGGTGATTCGTCCTATCTGTCCTAGCTTTGATGGACAAAGTTACCTGATAGCTGTTATTGGTGGGAGATGACATGTATACCGTGAAATTAGTTGAAATGTACAAAAAAATTGGTGTGGACATCATTCGTAAAAAACCAATGATTATAAAGGGTTAAATCAGGTGGGGAGTGGGGTAGAATGTCTAGAGAGGGAGGTTGGGAATGTTAGTTGGAACTTGAAAGTTACTTGTGAAACTTGCTTTTCTAAGTCCATGAAGAAACATTATTTTTCTTATTTTTAAAAAGTTTGTTTTTCGAAGAAAAATAAATTTTGACCAATCAAATATAAATGATTTTCTCCATATACCAAACACAGCCCATTATTGATTTTGATGATGTGATAAACTTGCAGAGGATAAAAGTAAAGTGAGTCACCTGTTAGGGCTTGATGGAGCTAAGGAAAGGCTGCATCTATTCGAAGCAGAGTTACTTGAAGAACAATCATTTGATGCCGCCATTGATGGTTGTGAAGGTGTCTTTCATACTGCATCACCTCTTTCATTCACTGCTAAATCCAAGGTAAGCATCTTACTAATTTGTTTTTTCTATGTATAACCGATCCCAATTTCCAGATAAATCAATAAAAAAAACTCTTTGATTTGATCTATTAGGAGGAACTTGTGGAGCCTGCTGTGGAAGGAACCCTAAATGTCCTTCGATCATGTGCCAGATCGCCATCTGTGAGAAGAGTTGTGATAACTTCTTCTACGGCTTCTATGATATGTAATCAAAATCGTTATATTCCTGGAGCTGTAGCTGATGAGACTTGGTATTCAGATACAGAATTTTGCGAGAAAAGAAAGGTTTAATAATTACTTAACTTCAATTTCTGCTGCTACTTTCCGATTTGATTAATGCTACATTGTGTTGCACCATCAAAGCTTAACATCACTAGCTACTGCCAGCCTATTTCCTTATCTAGACTGAAAGATTAAAAAACACACCTAAAGTATTCGATTTTTTGAGTTTTCTGTCTAAACTATCACCAAATGTTCATCGAAACACACCTCAACCACAAGTTGTTCACTTTTTCTACTTGAATAATGGTGATGGTGATATTTCAAGTAGAAAAAGTGAACATTTGATAGTCTAGGTGTGATTAGATAAACATCTGCTAATACTTCAGGTTAGAAACTCACACATCTGGTAGTTTAGGTACTTGAGATGTATTTGACTCTTAACTCTTCTATCTATAATAGTATAGTTGTTTTTTAGTTAAAACATTATCTCCATCGATTATTGATGTGCAAGAAGTTGCAAGTAGAGTTTGACATCCCAAACTTTGTACCTGATCATTGAGAAGAGACTACTAAAGTTTTTTTGAAATTAAATGAAGAGATTACTAAAGTTGGTCCTAACCAAAAAGAAAAATGTACAAAAAGTTATGTAATTTTTTAAGATGGGGTGGATTAGTTATCGCACCACATATATGAGATAACTTATCCCATCATTATAGTACAAGCAGTGAAATAAATGATCATGGGACTGACTAATACCCCATAAACCAAACTCTAGATAAAATAATCTTGCACTTTATCCCGAGATTGTTGTCCCTTATCCTTCATACCAAACTGCCCTTAATAGTATAGCTGATTTTCAGGGATTTGTAATTCTAGTTGAGCTCGTTCCTCACATGCATTTATATAGTTGTATTCATTGAGTAATGACAGAAATTCCTTCATTACCTTGTTCCATATATTTCAAACATTAGATGTATTAGTGTATGTGTGAGCACAGATCGTGCTATCTGGACATAATCTTCCCAAGTAAGAAATGGTTCATTGTTATACCAGCAATTCACTTACTTAATTCTGCATTCCCTGTTATACCGAGCACGAAACAAAGCCTTTATTATTTTTGAGATGCTAAGTACGTGTCTGATTATATACTTCATTTAGAAGAAGTATTTGAGAAAGTAATGTAGAATATACTAATTAGCATTGATCTCTTCACTATTTGCTTATTGGCGGTGTTTTAAATTTGGATTTCTCAGCAATGGTACAATCTGTCCAAGACCCTGGCTGAAGAAGCTGCTTGGGAATTTGCAAAACAGAATGGGATTGACTTGATTGCCCTTCATCCAGTTCTAGTCACTGGTCCATTTCTGCAGCCTACACTCAATTTCTCTTCTGAGGCTATGCTCAACTTCATAACACAAGGTATGGATCTCTGCTTCTGATTGTGGGCATTATATATTAAATCGGGTTTTTAGCAAGGTTTATTAATGTATTCGTCAAATATTCAAATATGATTCCACAAGATCTTGTTTCGTTCAAGTAACGGATTCTAGCCAACTGAAAGTATCTATTAAAGTCATCAGAGATTTTGGCAAATGATCTGAAATGTCTGTAGAAGCAAGATTTGCAGAAATCCTAAGTATTTCCTGTCTATTGGGAGAGTCTTTCCTCTGTACCGTTCAGACAATAGAAATTTTTTTCTGTACGAGTATTTTGGAAAAACATTATGCATGTTTATACAGTTGTAATTTTTCTCAAGTTAAGATGAGTGAACTTAGTTTCAACAAAAAATCTTCTCTGAGAAACATAATGTAATACTCTGTATCTTGGTTCAAAAACTTGCTCAGTTTTGACACATTGTGTTTTATCTGATGTAGGAAAAGAAGCATGGTCTGATGGAGTATATAAATTTGTCGATGTTAGGGATGTTGCTAATGCACATATACTAGCATTTGAGGTTCCTTCAGCAAATGGAAGATATTGTTTAGTTGGGGCAAACGGATACTCTTCTTCGCTTTTGAAGATTCTACAAAAGCTTTACCCTTCCATCACTATCCCTGGGAAGTAAGTATAAATTGCCAATGTTATACATGTGCTTATTCTTGGACACCTCATAATGTGTAGAGTTGAATCATGCCAACAATTAATTAACTAATGTGATGATTCGAAATCTAAAGGGGAACAACAAAGGCAATAGAAATCTAACAAGCTAAGTTTACGGTTACTAGCTAATCGCTCTTTGTTTTGAATTTAGAAAAGCAGAAATGCTACAAGGTCTCCTTCACAATCCTAAGAGGAAGTAGGACAGTTAATTTGCACATAAGGAGTATGCAACAAGAAACAATTTCAGCCATAATTAATAGGGATAAGGGTTTGAAAAATACCCCAACTTTGATCGGATTTGTTGTTGCGATACTAAATTTTCATGAGGACCTATTACCTCCCTAGACTATTTAATACCGTATTTTAAACATATATATTTGCCCATGTGGACATAAAAAATAATGCAAAATTATAAATAGTAATGTGTCCACGTGGACACATATATACCTTTACAATACACTATTAAATAGTTCAGGGGGTAAAAAATACGGTATTAAATAGTCTAAGAAGGTAATAGGTCCTTGTGAAAGTTTAGTCTTGCAACAGAAAATCTGACCAAAGTTGGGGTATTTTTCAGACCCTTATCCCTAATTAATAATATGTAAATTTTAAGCCCCTAAGATTCATGTTGATGTAGTAATTTTAGTAATATGTCCTGGATGGCACTATATATTCCCATTGCTTATGAAAAATAAGATTGGCGACATAACATTCCACTTTTTTCTGAGATGTATTCATTTTAACTAATTTACCATGCATGATATCGTTGTGTTTCCATGTTACATGATTTTGATGGTGAATTCAGCATTGATCTTCACTCACAATTCTTATATTTGGATGTAGCTTTGAAGAAAATGGATTGCCCCTTACCCCAGCCTTCCAAATATCGGGGGAAAGAGCAAAAACAATAGGCGTCAAATACACATCTCTTGAATTAAGCGTGAAGGACACTGTTGAAAGCTTAATCCAGAAGGACTTCCTCAAAATCTTACCCCAAAACTAGTCCTTCCTGCTTTGCTCTTGTACTAGTGTTAAAGGCTTAAAGTAGAACCTTTTTATCCTCAATAAGTGTGTCTAGTACAAAAGCTCTGTGATGTATCAGCACGATGATTTATTCCTGTATTAAAGACGATGATTATCACCTAGTGAAAATTCCTATCTACTTATCAGGCTAAATGCACCATTTTACGACACTATCTGTTTTTAGTATGTCCTAAAAGGATTGATATGTACGTTCATACGTTTGAAACTCCTGTTAAGTATTTTAATTAAAAGATAGGCTTAAGTCATATGCGGGATCCGCATAATTCAATTAAGGCTTGTACCCAGGGGGCGGAGGCAGCATATCCGAACCCTCTCGGCAGAAAATATTATTATTTATACATGATTAGAATTATTTTTTATATATGCATAATAGATGTTGAACCCCCTTCCACTAGTTCGTGTGTTTACTTCTCAGATTTTGAACTCATTTATTAAAAATTCTGACTTCGCCACTGTTTGTACCAATTAAACACTTACATTGTTTAAAACATGTGTCTATTAAGCACAAAATGCTGATGTGGTAAAATAAGTGTATGGTAGTGCGTGAATTGGTCCAAATTTTTTTTGTAGAATAAACTTGTACTTTTTTCTCCTAACAACACTTGGCATGCATTAATTAAAAATATTTTATACCCAAAAAGAAAGCAACCCCACCCCTGTAGGCATATCAATGGTCTTCTTCTTCACCCCATTTTAAGCCTTTTTAAACTCTGTTTGTTTTTGTTCGTTTTTTTTTTTCACTCTTTATAAAATAAAATTGAATTTGTTAATAGAATTTGCAACAAGAAAAAAAAATGGGACATCGAAATTATAGAAGCAACCTCTGTCCATCTTTATTTCTGGTCACTTCAATCAACAAATATTACCAACCATTTATTTAAAATGATATAATTCATTTGAATCCTCTTCGTTATCGATTTCGAAATAAATTTATTTTTCACAAAAAATCTTAACAATCACTCCATTAATCTATCATGCTTCATAATTTATTTCACTATTTGCATCATACTTGATTTCAATAGCCCATAGTTTATTATAAGAAGAAAAACAATTAATCTTTTCAAAGGAATAGAAAATGACAAGTAACAGAGGATGAAGAAGAAGAAAAAGATGAGTCAAATGATTCAGTGGAACAGGGTAGGGGGATTTTCTTTTTTCTTCTTTTTGTTGTCATCGCCGGAGGAACAAGGTTGACATTCGTAACAAGAAGTTTTAGATGGAAAAAAGGCAATTATACTTGGTAATTACCGGCCGCTAATTTGTTAGTATTTCAATCGTGTTAAACAAAACAAAAAGTCCAAATTTGTTAAATCTATTTGTAACTCGTTCAAAACCTCTTCAGAAGTAAGCCAGCGATATTGCTAACAATAAAGCTCAAGACACAGTCTCTATTTTTTCCACAGCAAAATTCATAAAATTGATAAGAAAATCTAAGAGCACATATGGCATATGTAAACCCTTGTACCAACCAGACACATGACATTCACAGAGTTGAGCATTTTCCTTAAAGTTGATTAAACATGTCAAACTTTACATTACAAGCCAACAATCAATCTTTTATTTAAAACATGGCAGCTGAGATACGTCCACCAGTGTATTTCCATCACATGATAAACCTAAAATAGGACACGGAAACAACAGAATATCAATGGCCGAAAATAATACTAGATAGATATGCTAAAAGTAAAACAATGCCATTGAAATACGATAAAAGCAAAACTTGTATCTCAATATCATACAAGAGCAAAGTCCGTAAAAAGTTTCTATCACTGTTTAAGGGAAAAGTATACGCTATAAAAGGGCGTTATCAATGTATTAGTTACTCTCCCAAAAAGCAACTCTGTCGAAACTCCAGAATCAAACGCACTATGCTATCCACATTAAAGGTAGACAGCCAAATCCAAACATTATTTTCCAAACCAACCCAAACACACGATGCCATCCACAAACCAAACTTAAAACATCCAAAAACAAATAAGAGTAAGCTTTTAATCAAACAAAAAGTCGTGAGACCTAAGTGTAGAAGAACATAATAGCTAAAAAGTGTAACATTATACTATGCAAATAACTTTTATACCACCAATTTATTCACTGAAGCTCCAGCTCAAATACGAAGAATAAACATACAATTCCAGTTAGATATAGATAACTAAGCAACCACCTTCCAGTACCCAGCAGCCCAATATCACTATGATAAACACAATCCATTAGTATCTAAACACATTTCTCATCAGTAGAGGGATAATTCTACACAAACTAATACCACACCGCTGCACACTGAAACCAACTCCCTCAAGATGGCATGCACAATAATTCTGTAGTTGCCTAGGCATGCCCAAATACCAATTAATTGACTACTAAGCATGCATGATTAACAACTTGAACTGGAGCTACAGGTAATACACTCACTTCATTGTACTTACACCTACCAACTACAACAAAGATTGGTACCCAAATAATTCCAGTTCCATCTCTTTGAAGCTTACATTTTGTCACCAGATATTATAAAGCCAAATAGAAAACCACATCATTTTCCACATAGAATCATTGCTTCATCTTCCGCATAGATGTCTCACACAGAGCAGCAGGGAATATCCCCTACCTTCAATCTAGGTCCACACATCCTATTCAAGGTTCTTTGCTCTAAAAGACAAATGTTTATGTGTGTCGACACTTATTGTGTGGCTAATCTTTGGCTAAAAAGAATGCAACAGCAACTCGTACCTATGGCCCACAATTACAACAAATTTTGGTGAAACTTAAAAGAGTTCAGATCAACCAGAGTTCTTACAGATCAAGAGTGGCAAATTTTGTTCGAAGATTGTTGATGTTGAGCGTTGAGGAAGGTCAGAAAGGCAACACTTGCTAAAAACTTGAGGTAAGTTGAGGCTTACTCTCCTAAGAGGAAATTCCGTTAAGAGCCCACATGCTCCGTGTTAGATAAATTCCTAGACCATCTCTTCTTGTGCTCAAGTATTACCTTCACTCTATTCTTTCGGTACAAATTTACATGAATTGCGACTGTATTACATGTTTATGTGTGTTGCCACTTATTGTGTGTCTTATATCACATTCAGTTTCAGCATTCTTTTGATGCAATTATGTGATCACATCCATTAGAGAGAAGTGGCCAACCTCCCCCAGCATGAGTGCTAGAAATGCCTAGTTAGCTACCCAGGCTCGCATGAGCCAAATTGCTTGTTAGGGAGATAGGCCGACCCTACCACGTGCGCGTTGCCAGATTCTCACAGATGCAGGGTCATCGTATGAAACTACTTTTGCCCACTTTTCAGCTTCAGTTTCAATAATTAGTTTTTGACTCAGTTTTCAGTTCAATTATATCAGCTTACAACTTCGGTTACCAACTTATCAACTTGTGTCAGTTTTCAGACTTTATATGATTTCCATGCCTGCTTTTGAAACGTATTTCCTTGTTTATTATATTTTTATCCCAAGAAGTCTAGCTCCACCATATGGGAGGTAGCCTATGAGTCTAAGGAAGTATCCTACAGAGGTACTTAGCCTGTTCGGGCATACCACATCGTGTGGCAGGATTTAAGTGCACAGGTGACAAAACATGTGGCTAGGGGCAGACATTTCTAGATTCAGTGACAGACTCCATTGACTTCATCGAAGTGGTGGCGATTCTTTTCAGATTTTTCTTATCTCAGATAGTAGTATTATTCTCGGGAAATGCCTCATAGATTAATGTATTTAGATATCAGTTAAGAGGCTCATGACTTGTTAGTGGGTATTAACTTTCAAATATTTAGTGTTGATTTACTATTCACCTTTCAGACTCTTGAATTTGAAAACTTCATTAGAAGTTACTCAAATGTTACGTTTTGTCAGACCTTCATTCAGCAAGTTCAGGGTTGACTCGATGGGTAAGAAGGGTTGTCATTCATGTCCTACCCCAGTGGTTAAAAGTTAGTAATAGAAGATCACACCATAAGTTTTGAGGATAAACAAGGAACAAGAAGTTAAGGTATACAAATTTGTCAAGTTGCACCTAGCACCTTTTTTGTCACACAATCATGCTTTACTTTGTCATGCTTTCTATAGTATCTACTTTGATACGTTTTTCCTTGAGCCAAGGGTCTATCTGAAACAACCTCTCTACTTACCAAGGTAGGGGTAAGGTCTTCAGTCTTCACACACTATACCTAACCCAAACCCACTTGTGGGATTACACTGGTTATGCTGCTGTTGTTATAACTTGCATCACCCTAGATAATTTTTGTTAAGTAATGGATAATTGGGTGAAAAGTCATCCAATATCTCTATTGGTAACAAGTAGTACAGACTTAACAGTACACGTCTAAATACATCTGCCCCTGACCCACTCTCCACACAGGACAGATGTATAAACAACCAGAGTGTTAAAAGCTGAACAAAACTCAACAATCCAAGGCAACTTAAACCTTTGAAGCAAACAAAAAAGCATTAATTACATCAGTAGCAACAAAAAAATATTGTTATACATACAGCACAGAGCTTCTTAGTAGCCTTAATAGTATTCCTTAAAGTCGATAGTTATTATAAACTAGATACTACTAAGGCTTCCCCTATTATGGAATACATGAAGTCGCTAGCAAGTTTTACATATGCGGAAGCCTCTGGGCTACGATGACACTTACAATGTGGACCTATTGACTATATCAGATTTTAGATATGTATATAGTTGTGTCTTTGGTGATAAGAAATATAATTAGATTCATGATGTGTACCTCTCCTTTATATATACTGAATCATAAATTATGCCAGAAGCAAGAGTGAAAGCAAAACAATGTGAAGACCAGTACTTGATTAAGGCTCAAGAAGTCGTAGGATTGCACTTCCGCTTCTAAATCTATGCTCCAAACAGAATATTGCAATGATTCAAACCACCAAACCGTCAAATTATTTTTACTTTTCGCATACCAACAGCAAGGCAAAGGAGCATTAAAACTTAAATCACATAAATAAATTAACTATTCAATTCGAATCCAACTAAAGCATCAGAACCAAAATAAATCTCAAAATTTAAGCTCTCAACACAACAACATCATAAAATAGACCACCATAAGATCAAACTCCAAAAATTCAAAACTAAAAGAAACCTCAAAAATTCTACGAATCCAAAAGTTACCTATAGTTTATTCTAGTTGTAGTAGAGCTCAAGGCCCATTCCATCATGAATTTCGTAGTCCTTGAGGGTAATATGATCTTTGTACACATTATACCACTTCTGAATACGAATCTTATCGGCGCGTGTACCAGTCTGTGCAGCAACCAGCTTCTTCAAATCACCAATGGTGTCATCTTCGTTGCACTTCACCTTCACTTTCTTCCCCAATCGATCGTTCAACACTACCTCGATCATCTTTGAAGCTTTCGATATGAACAACGCAAACCCTAAACTTTTTTTCTCTGTATTTTGTAGAGCGCGAAGCGTGTATATATATACTGTGTTGGTCTTCGCCGCCCTTTCGCGAATAGACAGAAATACCCTTGAAAAACTTGGGGAAGAGGGGTATAAATTGGTATTCAACCTTACACGGGATACACACACAAAAAAATTTACTTTTTTTGTTTGTTGTTATAAATAAAGGAATATTCAACTTTTTCTTTCTTGAATAAGGGGGTAATATGTCCTATTCAACTTTGAAAAGGAATAGATGCAAAGTAGAGATGGACTTGGTTTGTTCGAATTGAATTTGAGCGGGTTAATATAGTTTAAGTAAAGAAAAAATTTATATATAATTGTAATTCAAAAATATTATATTACATAATCATACTTAGAAGTCGTTTGGTATAAGGTATAAAATATAATAACTTTGAAATAAAATATAAAATTACTTTGTTATCGATTTGGTAGGAGCTGGAGGTATTAGGTAGTCATTAGATTGTTTATACCATTATTTATATCATAACAATGGATAAATTGTCACATATACATGGTGAAATAATTTATTCAAAAATAATTAATACTGGATAACTGTTTCTAACCAAACTAACTTTTTTTTATAACAATTTCATCCTGTTTCAAACTTTTGTGGAGAGAGTTCATGTAATTTCTTTTTACAGAATAACTTGTGCAATTTAATTTTTACGAGTCTTGCAATATATTCTTTTCATTGACTTTTATTTGTTCATTTTAAATTTTGTATCACAATTCTTATTAAAGTATTATATAACTTAATTGATATATAATTTTTCTTAAAATTAAAATAAATAATAAATATTTAAGATAAAATTTGAAAAAATATGTAAATTAAAGAAAACCATATTTTCTCCCTTGATATGCAAAAAGGTAACTTGCAAAAGACTAAAAAGTGATGTAACCAATTTTCGAATTCCTTTGTCAAAGATAATAAGTCGATAGAAATTATGAAGACAACTAAGAACACTAAAGCAAAATTATCACTTAGTGGCTCTAATTGTTTAATTAAGGTTCCCACATTAATAAACCTTTTAAACTTTGAAATCTCCAAGTTCTTACCCAAAAACCTAACAAAGAAAAAGACACTATCCACCATTTGGTATTCAAATTAACATAGTATATATGATTAGCAACCATTAGACTTGTTTCTGAAGCTCCAAATTCCAAGAAAATATGATAAATTTGAAGTCTTGGTTTCTTCTTGCAATTCTTTCTGCGTTCCTATGTACAACATTGGGATCAGATGCTGTAGATTCTGTGCTAAGGCGTTTGGATAGCAAACAGGCGCAATCTGTAGTGCAAGAATCTGCAGCTAAGGGTGTTTTGCAGAGGTTACTTCCGGCCCATTTGCACAGTTTTGAATTTAAGATTATCTCCAAGGTACTGTACTATTAGCTCCATTGTCTTTTTTCCAGTTTTGGGTCTCTATCATTTAGTCTCTTTTTGTTTGGGAATTGGTAATTTATTGTTTCTGTTACTTAAAGTTTACTGCTTTTCTTTGTTAGATAAATGCTCAAGATTGTTGAGATTGTCATTTTTGAAGAACTAGTTGACTTTTATGGTTATAAGCTTACAAATGCGTCAGTATATGTCCTTTGTGTGAACTTTTCATTGGTTCAGTAATAAATTTTGATAACCGTGGTGTCCAACTCTAATTCCACGGAATACCTCTCTCACCAACAACACGTATGAAGTAACTCTTATCTAGTAAGGCTAGGATAGATGTGAAGAAATCACCTAGTGTTTTTTGGCTTTGCTGGGGTTTGAGCCTGAGACATCATGGTGCAAATTTTGGGAAGAAATTATTGTTGTAACACTTGTTAGTACCATCAGAATAGGTTAATGATGCTCACTTAATGATCATTGTGTATATAAGGATACAATATGTAGATGTTGAATAAGTGAAGGTAAGAGATTGTATTTAAGTGGCTTCCCGTAGCTTTATTCTCCCTAATGATGTTGAATAATCGTCTAGGCTGCTGTAACTAAGGATCTTCTATATTTGTATATTTTTGTTACTGGCGCATTTTTTTGTTGCCAAACTGACTTGTTACTTGAGTATTTGAAATCTATACGTGACATTTCATATGTAAATGTAGGATCTTTGTGGTGGAAGAAGCTGCTTTCGTATAACAAATTACAAGAGTTCATGCAGAAATTCACCTGAAATTTTGTATGTTAAACAAGGATCTTATTATGTTACTTTTTGACGTGTATTTTCTGGGACTCGTTTTGCTTAAAATGTTGTGTTCTTTTTACTGTAGAAAAGTTTTGTTTTCCTTTAAGCACTCAATGGTGGTTTTATACTCCTAATTTACTTCTTCCACGTGCACATTGTTTAATAAGTTATTGTTTGGTTTAAGTCCTTGGTTCATAATATTGCCAACTTTGCCCCCATACCAGGTGCTGCTGATTTCTGCAAAGGGCAAGTTTCTTGCAAAATTCTTAAAGAGATTAGATTGTTGATATCAATTAGCACTCTCCGTAATCAGTACGAGCTTTTGAATATGATATATTTAAGTCTTAAGGGTTGACAGTTGATTGCCATAGCCTCTTTTGGCATCTGTAGTCCAGATTTTCTTTTCAAAGTAGAAGAGAATATAATATTTAGAATTTTGTTATCCAGTGCAGAGATACAGTTGAAAGAGGCTTAAATTAGATTATGAATCTATTTTTGATTTTTTTTCTCTAAGAATTCAAGGAACTACAGCTGTTGAAATTGCATCGGGTCTACACTGGTATTTAAAGTATAAGTGTGGAGCTCATATATCATGGGACAAGACAGGGGGTGTTCAGTTAGCTTCAGTTCCCAAGCCAGGTGCACTGCCTCTTGTAGAAGCGAGAGGAGTGACGATCCAACGGCCAGTACCATGGAACTACTATCAAAATGTTGTCACATCCAGCTGTAAGCATACAACTCTCTCTCTCTCTCTCTCCCCCTTCCCCAACAACCTTTTATGCATAAGTCATTACGCATTATAAAGTGCCCTTACAGACTCACTATCACCGAAATTCTGGTAGTAAGTCTTCCCCCAATACATAAATGATGGAGAACATAATGCAGTATTTGGTTGATTTTTTAAAAGTGTGTGAGCATCTGTCTTCTGATATCCAAAGCCTTATGCCACTGCAATTTCCTCTCTGTGATTCTGCAAGTGAAGTTGATGTCTTCTTTTGCCTTCTCTTTTCTAGTAATTTTTCCTTGCTCTCTGTAGAACTCATTCCTTTTCTCATCTAATCATAGGATGATGAAACCAAATTCATGATGTTCCTCGATCCTCCATGGCATACTTGTGCATAATTAAAGACACTTATTATTAGTATGTTAGCGATGTGGTGTTTGAGGGCTTTCATTTGGATATCTTATGCAAAACCAAGGTTCTCTTAGATAATTCTCTCCTGTGCCTGAACTTATTAGAAAATGATATCCTAACAGCAAAATAGAGAAGACAAACAGATCTATTTGACGGTTTGTCATCCCTATCTTTTCTAGGCTGTAACCAGTCTTACTCTGTTCATGGACAACTTATCAGGACGTCGTGTCAATCAAGAAAGCAAAGCATTTATAATGAGTGATGGAGCTGTAGATACCTCACGATTTCAGCCATTTTTGTGAACTATTCCAGTAGGTTTAAGCTGTTCAGATTGAGTTGAGCTTGATTGAAAACCATTTTACTTGATAAGTCTACTCTGTTGAATGTTGACATTAGGAGAATCATGTTTTTTCTACTTATGGATGCTTACTGTTGGTATTTTTTGAGATGCCTCTGGTATAACAACTTGGCATATTTCTACTTCTTGGTATTTTTAAGATGCTGCAAGTGTAACAGCTTAGCATATTTCTACTTCTCCATGCAGATTCATATGTTTGGTGGGATTGGCAAAGATGGGAGAAAGAGATTGATTGGATGGCACTTCAAGGAATCAACTTACCTCTAGCATTTACGGGACAAGAAGCTATCTGGCAAAAAGTTTTCTTGGTATTTTTATAGCATTGGATTTTGTGGGTTCAACTAGTTTAATTTAGACCATGGTTGTTTCCATGGCAGTTCCTGCCTGATATTATACAAGGAAAGTCATACAAGCTGTTTGATACATTTGAGCAAGGGCCTGAGTTGTGTGTATGTTAGGGGAATCAGTTGTGGTAGTACCATTGCTATAAACCTATCGTTTCTAACCCATGCGTTGTTTTCATATTGCTAATCTTAGCACTTCTGTCTTGAATCTACTTCTATGAAGTAGACCAGAACTTAGGCACTATTTCAGATGAAGTTTGTTAATTAAAATGTCTATTCTTTGTGCTGAAGTATTTAAAGTTTCAGCTGCCATCAGATCATCAATTTTCTCTTAGATTTACTGAAAATATATACCCTTCATTCTTTTAAGTCTTGACTATTTTATTTGGTGCTTAAAAGCAATGTGCCAATATCTGCTTAGTGTTAACTTCCTAGTTCTTTAATAGTCAATTTGTCCTTATCTTATGTTCCTACAGATAATATATCTGCTTGATGTTTACCTTGGGTTTCTTAATACTTTGTGTGTAAGAGACAAATACCACAGCATTTGATTAGTCATAGTTCATGACAGTCTGATATTGATTTATAAGAAGCTTTGTTAGACGCTTATAAGCACTTTCTGTCTCATGTTTGTTGATGGTCAGGATTATAATATTACTACCCAAGAGTTAAATAATTTCTTCGGTGGACCTGCCTTCCTGGCTTGGGCTCGCATGGGAAACCTACACGCGTGAGTGCTATAATCTGTCCCTTACTTCTAACTTCTCTTTCAGTGAAGGGCATTTCCAGCCACAACATATGCTGGCAAACTGAATATTGTAACAAATATTATCTGGTTCAGGTATCTTGTGAGGCCAGGGTATATAATTTGTAAAGATTATGTGATTTAAATGTCATGCAGAAAATGGACTTTGAGCTTTGGTATGGTGCTCAAAGTTAAAGGGTGTAGCACCTAAGAAATGAGAATACCTCAGAT